GGTGGGAGGCATCGTGCAAGGGTTGCATGGTATTGGGGAAGCAATGTCGAGAACGATCCCTTTGGGGCACAGGGAGAAACATCGTAACCACCCCTTACTCCTACACGCGGGGCTTTGTAGGAGTGGACCGCTTATTTCCCTAGCTTCTAGTGAGAATTTTATAGGGTAAGAACAAAAATAAAAACAGGCAGGAATACACTGCTGAAAGTTCACGGGCTAGGACTGGAAGCGAAAAGAGGGAAGAAACCTCATTCAAAACGCAAAGGGAAGACGGCAGTAGTTTGGGAAAACCCCGAAGATCGGCCGAAAGCCTTCCCACGCTTGGAGAACCAGGAGGTCTGGACGGCCCGCGAAGGAAGGGCCTTAGCGGGACAGGCATAAAGAACTACCTACCTCAGCTACCTGGCACAGGGCATGATATCTGAGGCAGCCAAGGAATGGGTAGATAAAGGGCAAGAAGCGGGGATAAAGCAAGAAATGCTGACCCCTGCATCCTCATCTTCGTCCAAAGTGGAGGACCGCAAAGAGAGCAAGAGGGGAAGTGAGAATATCACACCCCCTCAGGGGCCAAACAGTAGGAAAAGGATAGTTTATCCTTCCAAACCCACCGCAACCGCAGCAGGGACTAGTACCAGCTACGCGGCTGCAGTAAAAAGCGTCCAAATGGAAATTGTACCAAGGGAATACCCCTAGGTCACGTTAAGCACGGAATAACTGACGGTCCTAGAGAGTGCTCTAGTGGAAGAAATGTTCACCAGTACAGTGGTGAACCTGAAGTTCGCAGGAACCCATTTCAGGTCAACACTGATAATGGTAGACTGCAAAAACGAGCAGACAGTCGGCTAGCTAAGGGAAACTGTACCCCGGCTGAAAGAATGGAAGAGGCCGAGGTTAACTGTGTGCACAGGAGAAAACATCCCAAAAGCACATACCATAACCGTCTTTCTTCCCAGGAGCAAAAGGCAAGAAGCTGAGAAACTCCTCAAGCTCCTAAAGACCCAAAACGCCGACGTCAGATAGAAGTATAGAAGGTGATCAGCTCAAAGGAACAGAAAGAGGTGTCCAAACCGGAGGTAGCTGAGCCCAAGCCAAGTAACACCAAAGCTGAGGTCTCAGAGAACGAGCTTCCCACAGAGGAAGAGAACGAGCTACTGAAGGACGAGACAGACATCGCGAACGGCGAAGGCAACGCCACCTTGCCTCCGTCCTAAGTAACCAATGGACAATACTGCTACCAGGGTAGCCCAGGTCGACCTCCATCACGCCAGAGGATCCTCTGCTGTGATTGCGAGGTTGGTTGGGCAAGGGCTTGTGGATCTGGCGCTGATCTAAGAACCGTAGGTATACAAGCGGCAGGCGGTGAAAGGACTGACTATCAATAACTCAAAGGTGATATGGGACGATAGGCACGAAACACCCAGAGCCTGCATAGTAATCAAGAGACATATTAATTATACTTGTGTTTCAGAATATATGACAAGGGACCTAGTACCAATCATGGTGAATTTCCACCACTTGGACAGACAGTGAATCATTGTGATAGCAGCCGCATACTTCGCTGGGGATAGACCAGGCACACCACCGGCGGAGCTTGAGGAGCTAGCACACCACTGTAGGGGGAAAAATATGCCATTCCTAGTGGGATGCGACGCTAATGCACACCACAACTTCTGGGGAAGCTCAAACACCAACACCAGGGGTGAGTACCTTTTAGAATTCTTACTTGAAATGAACTTTGACATTTACAATAAAGGGAATACACCCACTTTTGTAACACGGACAAGGGAGGAAGTACTAGATATAACATTTGGTAGTACTGAAATAACGAAATATGTGAAAAACTGGAGGGTCTCGTCTGAACCCTCCCTGTCTAATCACAGGATTATAGAGTTCAGCTTAGAAGTGAGTACCTCCAAAGCAAGACTCAAGAGAAACCCTATGAGAGCAAATTGGGAATTGAACAGAGCCAATCTGGAAGAAAATCTCAAAGTAATCAACCCGGGAAGAATAGGTTTTCACCTAGAACTGGAATAGAAAGTAGAGCGCGTCAACCTGGCAGTAATAGAGGCATTTGACTCTAGATGCCCCATGGATTCGAAAAGCCACTCGAATGGGACTCCATGGTGGAATGCAAACCTGGCACGCCTCCGGACTCGAGCTCGGTGTTTATTTAACACAGCAAGGACGACCGGGGAATGGCAGGGTTACACAGAGGCTCTCACAAAGGATAATAAAGAAATCAGGAAGGCAAAAAGAAACAACTTTGGGCAGCTCTGTGAAAACATCACCTCGACTCCAGTCGCCGCTAGACTGCACAAGGCAATAGCCAAAGAGGGAACAAGCGCGGCAATGGCTCTGCAAAAGCCAGATGTTACCTACACGGAAGGCGAGGAGGTGCGTATGCTCCTTCTTTTGAGTAAATACTTCCCAGGTAGTAGGCCAACAAACAGAAGTGAGGAAAGAGCGAACGCCAGACGGCCCACTAGGGAGGACTGGGAAATAGCAAAAACGATACTCACTAATGAGCGGCTTGAATGGGCATTGAACACATTCGAGTCTCTCAGATTCCCAGGAGTGGACGAGATCTTTACAGCACTCCTGCAAAGAGAAAAAACAGAGATCATGCTGCACCTTGTAGATTTAACCAGAAGCAGTATGGCAATGGCATACCTTCAATATGGAGAAGGGCGAGAGTCACTTTAATTCCAAAGACAGGCAGGAAGGATGGGACAGACAAATCCTTCAGACCAATAAGCCTCACATCGTTCCCGCTAAAGACGATGGAAAAGGCGGTAGATAATTACATCCAACCTTGGAAAGGTGGCCTTTGAACGCAAGTCAGCACGCCTACAGAACAGGCAGGTCCACTGAGAGAGCTCTGTTCCAACTGACGAGCATGATACTAGAAACTCTGAATGAAAAAGAAGTCGCACCGTGTGCCTTTTCCTAGACATCGCTGGTGCCTTTGACAACACATCACATGTGGCCATTCGGAGAGCACTTACGAGAAGGGGAGTCAACGACACAGTATCCTGATTGATGTATAGGATGCTTGCCACGAGGACAGCAGTGCAGCAATGAGTCTATTGAAGTGAGCACCACTCGAGGCACTCCCCAGGGCGGAGTATGCTCACCTGTTGATGTGGAGTTTAGTGGTGGATGAACTACTAGGAATACTGAACAACCTGTGGCTTGGCGCGCAATCGAGCAGCCATCAAGACAATTGTAGGTCTCGCACCTCTTCACATCGTGGTGGAGGGGGCCGCTCGACAAGCAATGACTAGGATCACGAGGGAGGTTGGCTTGGAAGGACAGAATTAACATCTCTGAGCAATCTTGAAAAAAAGTTGATGATGGTGGCCCAAAGACGAAAAGTCAGATTTTGTATTTGATGGTAGCATCTTGTAGGGGAGAAAGAGTGGCTACAATGAAGTGATATATATATTTTTTTTTTTTGAAATATCACTTCAAATAAAATCAGCCCTAATTTAACCAGCCCTGTATCTCTCACCATTTTCGAGATCCCAAATGATGTGTCTCGAATTTGAAACACCCTGTACTCAAAGCAAACATGTCAGATCAGTGTCTGGTGTGACTGGCAGGCTACGTACGTTCGTTTTTAAAATAAAATCGAAGTTAAAAGAACCTAATTATAACTTCAATTTTGTTTTTGAAATATAGACAGATTTCAAAATACTTTGCATTAACACTTAGCAAGGCTTAGAAGGGCTTAATCTTTGTTTCGCTCGCCCGGATGCAAGTGAAAAAAGTGCAATGTATTTAAAATTCTACATTGCAGCAGGATGCGAATAAGCTGCAACAATTATGACTTTAATGGAAAAGGCGTCTGCTTTCATGGAAAGACGCTTTTATCCTCTTTCTATCTCGAACATACTTTACATTAAGGGCATGCGATAAGGACCTATTTCAAATTTGCCAATATTCCATAAGCGCTTTTACGACGCGCCGCTTAACACTGTTAGGCCTATTTAATTAGATACTATGCATCGTGTTGAAATATATTCTTTATAAGCTGCTGATCCTATTTTTTGTCTCATCAACAAAAGAGAAAGGAAAAGCAATAATGAATACAAAAAAAAAAAGAAATTGTATGTATGTATGTAAGTACCTACCTTTGATGAAAAAACAATGGAATTTTTTTTTTGATTAAATAAAAAATCAAATGATAGGTAGTTTCATATGACATGTCATTTATTTGTGTGTTTATTACTCATTTGCAAAACGTCAAAACATAAACGCCCAAGTTAGTCTTTCTTCAATACTGCCATTGAAAATTACTGTTTCTCAATTAGTTACCAAATGTGAAAGAGTTTGTTTCGTCCATTCTAATTTTTTGCATAGCAACGGGTGAGCGAACGGCGAGTGGAACAGTTTTCACCCAGTCATTTGTCAACACCAACTTTTTGTTTTACAAATTTCAAAAATTAAAATTCAGTTTTTAAATTTTCACTAGCATAATTGAATACAATGCTATCCAGCACTACTGTGTTGGCAGTCTGCCCAAAACCATGCTTTTGACTTGGCTTGGTGGATTATGGCAAATGCAGCGAGCGTTCAAAAAAATATGCTTTCTGGTATTGTATAGTTAATAACTATTATATTAACTTGAAATAATTAAGCTTCAAGCAATGACGCATAATAAAAAAAATTCTTAAAGATAAAAAATCATGCCTTATGTTTTTGAGACTTATGTTCAAATTTCTTAAAAATAGTAGCTGCTATCCACGAATTTATGGATGGATATTACTCGAACATGTAAAACTTTTTTTCCTAATCATTAGTTACTATATATATTTTTGTCGCCATTTGCGCTACGAAAAGTTGAGTTTGCATAGGTGGTCTCGAAAAAAAACATTATTGTATGACTAATATTTTTCACAAAATTGATTTTTTAGCTTGGTCGCTTTCGAAATGATTCTCACTTTTATTTTGTACAATATGTATTAGATACGATTTTTTCTTAAAGAAACTGTTCTTACCAAGAGGTGTAGATGCCGATCCCATCCAATTACTAGACCAATTCGGCGTTCCTAATTTCTGTTTTTGATTGGCAAGTAGCCTGACTGTTAACGCATAGGTGACTAGCATAACCATCAGCGGAATATAAAAGCATATTATGGACCCTATAAGTTTATACAGTGGGTCAGGAATTTGGCAGGTGCCCTCAATTATAAGAGATCCTTGGTCCTGAAATAAAATAAAAGTAATTAATTACTGAATAAGCGAAGGTGAACAGTAGACAGTAGGTAGTTAATAAGCCAGTAAATGAACTAATTCAAAAATATAAGAGATTACATCTACATTATAATTAAAGCTGCAGAATAACTCAAGAATTACCTCACTACCAAATCCTCTCACAATGGTATTCCAAGAATAATCAGTAACAGGTTGAATCAAAGTGCTTAATTATTTTCTTTGCATTTACTTATGGTAGATGCGTTTTAATTACCTATAAAAAAAAAACTAAAATATGGCTTTAGCTGGGTTAGTCATAATATTCGCCTCTGGTGAAAATTGAAAAACTACGTTGTCATAGGTAATAATAGTTATTTCTCTTCGAACATTAAATAATACGTTCATTCTTGCTCGATATTAATGATACGAATTATACACGCCCCGTGGATTCCAAACCGTAATCCACGGCCTGTCGACCAAATAAGTTCTCCGTATTTTTGGAATACACGAACCGCAACGAGACAATACAAACAAAACATGACTGAGTAACTGAGTAGTCAGATCACGAAACTTTCGATTAAAAAAAAAATAATACTTTTGATGATTGTTATTTCTTACAAAAACTAATGATTTTCTTTGAAAAAGTTCCAAGAGAAAGTATAGTCTTCTACTCGCAAATAATGGCTAATATTCAGTCGAATGATTCCAACACTCGCCGTCGGCTCGTCTTTGAATTTTTATTCTCGTATCATATGTTCGTTGAAGAATATACTATTATTATTCAGGTGATTTTTGAAGAGATTTAAAAAATCGATAGTCAAGAATTACTGTTTGAAAACTTGGAATGTCCTATAAAAGGCATTGTAGCTTTAAATGGAAGCTAATAAGTATTTTCCCAACTTCATTTACACTGGCTGTTTGATTTGTTTTAGTATCCCTCCTGTCAGATTAGTCTGCCAGTTCTACCTGCTGGCCTACCTACCACACAAATAGTCATAATGCGAAATAGACTCTGAACTTCAATGTGAATTCCGAAATTAGTTCGAAATAACATCGCTTTTTATAAATCACCATTTTATTTTGGGTTATTTTATAAATGTTGTTAATCTTGTAAACTGACATGTGTTCTTCCTGTTGGTAGAACTGATTACTGATTTATCTTTTTCGTGAAAATTTCCTTCAGGTTCTATTTAATGGACCAACCTATGGTTAAACTATTTAATGTAATTTACTGCCTCTTGGATTTGGAAATGGTATAGTTATTTTAATTCCCACCATGACTTACTCAAATCATGTGTATGGGAAATTATTCCAACCAAGTGAAACCTAGAGATAAAAAATAAAGAATGAATATTTTTGGATCGGTAAAAATTATAGATAGGTACAGTTTGTTCCTCGGTTTGTTCATAGCGTCAATGTAAACTTAATTGGTTCAATATTTCCTTTCAGTGTTCTTTCATAATTTAACAGGCTATGACAATCATTAACTATTGAACGCTTTGTTGTTTTTTTTTTTTTTTTTTAATAATCTTTTATTATTTCTTTATAAATTGTTGTAACAATATTTAACAGACTCTCCAATCAGTGCTGAAGGCGCTGGCCTCGAGAGTATAATTAATAAACTTTTAACAATTAACCATTCTTAAAACTAAAATAACATAATTATTAATTTTTCTAGCAACTAGCAACAAGAGTTAATTATTTTTTATTCTATTCCTGGGAATGTTTTCAGTCTTCTTACGAACACATTGTAGTTATTTATCAGTCTTAGACTTTCCGGTAACGAATTATACAGTTTAGATACACCGTGAATTGGGCTATAAAGACCTACATTTATTCGACTATAGTTCAGATATACGTTATTATTATTTCTCGTATTATGACTATGTATTTCGTTGGTAAAGGTTATATTTCTATTTATTTTTTGTTTTTGTAAGATAATTTTATGCATATTTTTGAACAAAGTAAGAAAACATTTCATTCAAAAAGTCAATATTGTTAGACAACCTGATCAGAGAATTGAAATAGCTATTTATACAATAAGTTACGAAATGAGCGTCTTTTAGGCACGCGACGTGAAAATTGTCCAACGAGGCAAAGCCGAGTTGGACAACACGTCGAGTGACTAAAAGACACCGTTTCGTAACGTATTGTATACAAGATTTTTTCTACTGGCATTTTATAATAAAAAAACACAATTTTATTTCATGTGAATAAGTCGATTACACCCAAAATCTTTGTTACCTGCTTTTACTTGACACCTGACACTTTTCATGCGATTTTCTTTTCAAAATTCGACATCAATAATTAAAATCCTAGAAAGTAGGTAATAACACAAAGTTCTGTTTTGAGTAACCCAAACGTTCAATTCAGTAATTCAATTTTCAATATTCATAATAAATACAAAACAAAATTCAAATATGTGTTTAGTGTGTTTTTTATTTCTGAATAATGAATGACACTTTTAGGCACTAGTGCTTAAAAATTACTTTTACGCACTCATAAGTCACTTTTACGCATTCAAAAGTCACTTTTACGCACTGAGTGCCTAAAAGTAACTTTCACGCACTCAGTGCCTAAAAGAATGTCGTTTCAAAACTGAAATGACAATCGAAAAGTTGCTATTATGAAACGTCAGTAGAAAAACGTTTTTATTGGGCCTAGATTTTTGGAGTTTTGTTTTGTTGGTAATTCATTAGAGAATCTGACTAAATGTGTAGATCCTAACCAGTGTCTGGAAATTAAAAAATATTTCCAAGACTCAAATCATTTCAACTAAAAGTATACTAATTTTTATGTTGAAAAATTATGTGGGTAACAACTTACTTATTGAAAACTTTTACGCTGTGTCTAGCCTCCCGGCACCGGTATTCATACGAATCCCGGTTATGACGCGTTTTCGATGACTCCATCAACGACCGCCGGGATTTATCGTGGATCCCGGCTATCGGATTCAAAATTCAAAGTCGTGTTTCTCTTGCTGCTTGAAGCTGTGATTAATTCCGGAATAGCTTTTGTGTATTATTGTTTCTTGTTGTGATATTGGTATTAGAGTAGTAAGTACTTCGTTAATCCACTTTTCGTAGTAGTGGTATAAAAAGAGAATAGTATAGTTTATTTTCATCCATTATTCAGGACTATAGCTTTTTTAACAGCCTGTATCTCTGAAATAGGGTACTCTTGGACTCATGTTTATAGGAATTTTTGCTCTTAATTTGAGATGTAGAATCCGCAGTTAAAATATTAACCTCTAATTTTGGGGCACCCTGTGTAATGTTGCTGAACATTAACGGCGTTGCTGTAGAAGATCAAATGCTGAACAAACTTTCAAAAGGACCCTGTACCTACATATTATAATAAAAAGTCATAATTTTATTTTCCATTAATAAAAGCTCATCTTTGTTTACTTTTTTTACTCTTCATAATAAATCTGCCCCAACACCAATGAACATAATAATTATTAACATCTTGTATAGCACTAGCCGGGATCCACGACAGTTACCGGTTGTTGTTGATGACGTCATTTAAAACGCGCCATAGCCGGGATTCGTATGAATACCGGTGCCGGGAGGCTAGACACAGCGAAACTTTTATTATAACGTACTTATTTGGCAATTGCCTAATTATACTGCATACGGCTAGTCAGCATCAGTTCGGAGGCCATGGGTCTATGGGTTCCTTGTATACAGCTTATCTTTGGGCGCCACCAAGTTAATTGTGATTAACTAGGAAGATTACTCAATCATGTCATAACAAAACCTGTGCAATTGGAGAGCTTACCAATAAAACAACTAATTAGGTACAATAATGTATCTGGCTTCTTTATTAAAAATAATAACAATATAATATAGGGATAGCCAGGACGTTGTTAAAAATGTGTATAGATTATGGCTTGTACCAATTTATAAATATTTGATTATAAAAAAAATGAATGCAAATAATATATAAAAATATGGATTTTAAAATAAACAGTTTTAACTGCTTGTTTACACTTGTGAAAGATAAAGACCACAATATCAGTTACACTCTACCAAGAGGCAAATTTAACACCAGAAAGGCACAAATTATTATTAGGGCAACCTCAGGGTAAAATTCTAGAATTTTATTTAAGGGGCACGTACTGACGTAATTCAGTGTCAGGTGATTTATATAAGATTTGCCTAAATAGTGAAAAGTGCAACTTACATGTATACAAGTGTTAGCTATCTTCAAAGGTGCGTGTAAATCCAGAAGTTCCTACAGTGAGAGTGAGGTTATCTACATGTTTGGTCTCACTGTAGATAGACAATGGTATGATAAGTGAGTCATGAGTCCTATCCACATTATATCTGTTTAATGTAGGACTCCACGTGGTTCTATCAGAGTGGTACCAAGAGGGTTGCTGAAGGGAGGCTACCAAATCCCAACTAAGAGCAATCTAGATCTAGTCTAGAATCTCTCTAATTACAGCCTAGGAGCTGTCTAGATATAGCCTAGAGTCTTCTAAGTATAACCTAGCACTAGGACCCTATAACGATGTTCGTATAAAAAAACAGATCGAGTCCCAAATATTACAAATAATCTTACCTCAAATTGAGGGATGCTCTAGACCAAAGGTGAAGTCTTAAACTTCTAAAAGCTGCTCGGAACAGTCCTATTGAAGAAACGAAACACGTGTTGTAGGTTAATATTTCCTGAAGAAAATCTCAAAACTTACCGAAACAAAATCCAAAATGACCAAGGGACAACTCTAGACAATAATCAACAAGAGATTAGTCTAAAACTTGAGTTCCCTGGCACAAAATTCCAAAAAGTCTCGCCCAAAAATAATTCAGGGCCGAGACCGACCTTTCAGTATCAAGTCTCAAGATCAAAAGGCGCTGATTCTTCATTTAGATTTGGAAAGAAGGCTTCCATTTGTCAAACATCTAATTTTGACATTGAAGAAAATTATAGAAAAAGACGTGTTCAGTTTCACCCCAAAAATACGAACTCAAAAGTGGGTTGTGTAAAAATGACTGGTGAATGTTGAA